ATCGATAAGCTTTTTTTCTATATCGCCCAGCCCTATTTCTAACACAATATTATTGTTTATATAGAAACAGAGACATACTTGTTCATTTTCAGGCGGTCTGATTCCCAGTTTGCGCAGCAGCTTCTGGAAGTTCCTGTTCTCCATCGCATCTTCATTCTCCTCAGAAAACGGGGCGAGTGGGACAGGCTGGGACACCTCTGGAAGGATGAGGAAAATACTCTCAGATGCTTTCATTGAATTACGTTTTTATTGGTTCATAAATAATTCAATTATTATTGAGAACAATCCCCCAGAACAAGCAGTCAGACTTACTGTCTTCATCCCGGTCATTTGCTGTTTTGGTTAAAGAGTTCTGCAGCCACAACAACGGCCCAGACAAACCTAATATCAGAAAAAACAAACAATTAAAGTTAAACATGATAGGTAACAAACTTAAAAAGAAAATAACATTTTATTGATCTACTTTCTATCATTAACATATTGTTTTTCTCTGGGCTTTAATCTTACCTTCCTGTTGCAGAGCTCTGACCATGGTGCTGATGTCTGCTCTGAGCTCTGTGGTCAGGTTAAAGTTTTGAATCCTTTTCTTAACAGGTTTTGGCATTTCTCTCTCATTTACATCTTCCTCACTATCCTCAGACTCATCGTCCTCTTCATCATCTCGATCCAGAGAATCATCTGGAAATTCTTGTGTTAGTTCAGCCAAGAACTCTTCCTCAGTCTGTTAGAAAAAACACACATTATCATACTTAGAGGTTACAGAAATGGGAACGTCTTGCATTTTGTCATCATGTTTTTTGATTTCTTTTTTATCTCCAAAAGTAGGGAGCAGAGAATGTTATTCCACATACTACAGCAATTTTTGTTCCAAAAGGGCAACAATCCCTGAATAAGACCTGTAAGGCAGAGAGGCTAGAAGGAGGTCATGACAGTTCACCTGGAATTCTCTAAATGGCACCTAAAGGACTTCTGAACAACCAGACATAAACCTATTTGGTCCAATACTGAACTATTTGGCATGGATGCAGAGCATCATGTTCAGTGGAAACCAGGTATCACTCACCATGACTAATACTATTAACACAATAAAGCATTTGTGATATACACTTTTTTTTTTTAAGCAGCAGGAACCTTTAACAAAAAGAAAACAAAATCAGCAAATTCAATAATCAGGTAAACATAAACAGCAACATACAGAAAGACCCTGGATGAAAACCTGCTTCAGTTCTCAACTCAGGTTCATCCCTCAGCAGGACATCAACCCCCAGTGTGACATCTAAGATATTAAAGCCAGATCATCTCTGGACTGATCAGAAAACAGCTGTGGATTAGGGCTGAGTGATAAGGCCCAGGGTATTTTGTGGTACTATTGTGGTCATTAAAGAATCTCTCAACACTAGCTGTGACTGCATGCCACAACAATCATTGCCCCACAATAATCACAAACACTGATCTTGAAAAAATTTAACAATTTAAAAAAAGGTGAATTCTCAGGCTGTTAAAATGATATGAGAGTTTCTTGCCGGATGATTTTTCTGTTGCATAATGAAGCTTACCATGACCTTTCCGGAGCTCTTTCGTTGGCCGCCGCCGCGGCTTCTTTTCTTGTACAGTTCGCGCCTCTCAGACACCAAGCCCATACTCAGCAGCTTGTCCACAACGCGTGCTCGGGACCGCTTCGCTGTGAGCTTCTTCATAATGTTACCCAGCACATCTGTGTCAATAAAAGCCTCTTTAAAAGCAGAATCTCTGACAGGAGCTGCTACTGAAAGCGAAGGAAGTGTTTGATCAAATTATTTAGGCGATGAGGAAGAAAAAAGGTTCCAAATACCATCAGAATCTTTGTACTCCTCAAAGAGCATCTCCAGCTCTAGCTCCTGCTCCTGAGTCCATAAAACGATCTGAGTACCCTTCCTTAGAACCAAACAATGGAAAGAAGCCTTTAGAATTTTTTTTTTTATATATATATTTACACGTTATGCTTGTAATTTTTGAAGACACCAAGCAAATAGCATACTTGGGTTTTTTCAGTTCTTTAGCGTTGTCCACGAGTCCCATATGCACCAGCTGAGTCACGACCTGCCGGCGGGTGCGGCTGCTGTTGCTTAGTGACTGAATGATGGTCTCCACTATGTCTGGTTCTACACACAGAAATACCACAGAGCGGTCAGAGTTCTGATTGGTCTAAATACTTGTAGGAAACGACAGACGTGTAGAAAGTAAACCTTCAGAGTCCATGTGCTTCATGTAGAGACTTCGCAGTTCCTCTTCCTCTTCTTCAGTCCATGATGGCTTCTTTCCCTCTCTGAATATATTTAATTACAGTCACATATGTCACTTTAGATTAGAGATCTATCTTTGCTGCTTTCCTTTGTTACCTGCATCAGTTATAGCAAAAAGGTGCAAAAGGCAAACTAACAGCACAGACCCGTCTTTGGTGTAGCCTTCAGTCATCTCGCGAACGGCTCCCACGTTTTTCCAGAAGAGCAGTTCAACGTATGCTTTGTTGTTCTGAGCTGCCACTGCAAAGAAGCGGTGCAGCACGTACTTGGCAAAGGTGACTAGTTCCTGAGAAGGGAAGGACAACAACACTGAGCAACTGCATATGATCCAGTTGGATTCACATCCAGGAATTCTAGATACTGGTTCAAGACTGATATGTCTAGAGTTCTCAGACCTTCATGGCAGTTTTATGGAGAAATAAAGAAGTTTTATTATATGGAACCTGGGTGGATGGATGGAAAAAAGAAACAAGGAGAGAAAGGAAAGGAGAAAATGAAAATAAACAAAGGAGTGAAGACAGATAAGTAAAGGAAGGAAGAACACAAAAATGGAAGGAAGGGCAAAATAAAGGAAACATCCAGAGAACAGGAAGGAAGGAAGGAAGGAAGGAAGGAAGGAAGGAAGGAAGGAAGGAAGGAAGGAAGGAAGTTAAGACAGGAAGGAAGGAAGGAAGGAAGGAAGGAGACAGGAAATGGTCTTCCTGTTTTATTGCTGATCCCACCTTGTAAGCAGCTGCAGCGGGATCACTGAGGATTTTGTTGAAAAGGTGGAAGACTGACAGCTGGAAAAGCAGAGCATCCATCTTGAGGTCGACAGCCAGGCGGTGCAGCATCCGAGCTATGCAGTGGTTTGTGTGCGGCGTGTTTTTGGAGTATGTTTTCAAAAGGAGAAGATACGGACGCACAATGCTGGGGTTGGCAAACCTGTAACAGCCAACAGAAAAGGAAAGCCAGATATGATCACTGCAGCCAGAATACCTGCTGACTTTGATTCAAATTATAATGTTGGATCTTTTTGTACCAAAATCTATTAATCCTTTTTTTTCTCCTTCTAGCTTTATGAAAAAAAAAAAATAACATGCATACATTTTAAAAACAAGCTTTTTCTTCAAATCAACACCTCAAGGAGCAAACTTTATTTTATGGCAACAAAATTCAAGCAGTAAAAAAAAAAAAATCCTGTTTCAGAACAAATAATGAAAATGCATCAAACTAAATCCTTACATCTAGTGGCATCAAACAGGTTATTCTGTTTATATAATACAAGAAGACAAATGAAAAAAAGGCCATAATATGAAGTCACAAGGAGTGGTGGAAAACCAAGGGGTGCATTTTTGAAAAAAAAAAAAAAACAGATTTCCCTAATTTGTTTGTTTTTTTTGTCCCAGCTTTTATTGTCAGTCCATTGTCACAAGTACAGAGCAACGAAATTAACTCTGCATTTAACACATTCCCTTGGGAAGCAGTAGGCAGCCATAGTGCAGCACCTGGGGAGCGGTGTAAGTTAAGTACACATTCTCTTTAAAGGGAGAAGAAACGGAGGACGAACATTTAGATTTAGTTTCTTTAGCTTTTATCTAAAGGCACCATGGCAGTGTGGAAAAAGCATTATCAGGAGAAACGCACACAGTCCGCTCCAGAAGTCAGGGGGGCTTAAAAAGGAGAAAAGAACATTTCCTCACCTTTTAATAAAGTCTAGAAAGTTGAACTCTTTCTCAGAAAGCTGGACAGATTCAACCTCCTCCTCTTCTACCTCTGCTCCCTCATCATAATCATCCTCAGCCACAGTCTCAACAGATGGCCCTAATTTGAAACAAAAAAGAAGACAAATTGTGAAGTTAAAGTAAAGCTGTGAAATAAGGCGTTAAAAGATACTTTGAAAAGCTTACTCGGCAGGTTGGCGTGGAAGATCTGCTTCAGAAGCTCCAGCTCTTCTTCAGGTTCTACATCAGAGGAACCAAACACATCTCCATCGGGCCATACCTCCCTGAACGGGACAGAAAATACCTACAATTACATAACCGAATGTAATCCAAAACTTGAAATAATGTTTGACGTTATATCATTGAAAAATTAGAAAAAAAAGGAAGTTTCTACTTCAAGTAATAAACTGGATCAGTTTATTTCAACAAAGGAGACCATGTTGTCCTGACCTTGCGGCCCGCAGCAATGCCAGCGCTTCAGGTCCCAATCGAGCCAGCAGAGCGTCCTGCACTCGGATCATGGCCTCGGTTCGCTGTTCCTCCAGAGGCGTTTCTGATGCGGCGTCAAAGGGCACGATGCTTTCAGTCAATGATGCTGAAAGCTGCAAACAGGACATTGGATTAGAAGAAGAAGGCCTTGTATATAGAAAGCCTGAAACCCACTGTGGATCCAGACATTTGAATTGAGAAAGCTCCCTGGAGAGGCAGCAAAACGTCTTCAAATCTTGGAAACCAAGTCCAGTGGATTGTTTTTTAAACTTTTACGGAAATCCTATGTGTGTGCATGTGTAATATTCTTAATATCTGAGTACAGTATTATTGCTCCATTAACACTAATTTTGTTGCAGTGGATTTGTATAATAAGTGGTATTACATGATTTATAGACTTCAAACTGACAATGCAACTTTATATGGTAAATGGCATTTACTTATATAGCGCCTTTTTTCAAGTCAGGAGACTTGACCAAAGCGCTTTACAATACATTTAGTCACAAACACACTCACACACTGATGCCCATTTTTTACCATAAATCACTGTAATCTTAAGATGCTTTGAAACAGCAAGTGTGTGTCAAAGTGATACATTTATCGTTATTTTAAAATATTTAAGTATTTATAATACTTAAAATCAGAACATCAAATTTGTTTGATGCTGTACTGTTTAATCAGTCGGTCTAACTAGGGAGTACCAATATGGCAGCTGGGACTTCACAGCACCCTGTACTACCAATGGCCCATCAGCAATCCTGCCCAACTGTGCCCCCTGGAGGCCAGTTCTGACACCAACCTGAAACCCAGTTGCCCTGAGCTCTTCCTCAACAGTCTTCCAGGTTTCCTCCAGCACCTCTGGATTCGATTCTTGAATCGAGTTCTTCTTTTTACCTCTGGATTTCTTCCGCCTCACTCTTTTCTTCTGAAGACATAAATAGGAAAACATCAATACCTTAAAGATGCTCTACAGCAGGCATGCCCAAAGTCGGTCCTCGAGGGTCGCCGTCCTGCAGGTTTTAGAGGTTTCTCTGCTTTAGCACAGCTGATACTGATGATTGCAGTTGAGCAAATGCCTGTTAATCAGCTATCAATGTAAATCATCTGTGCTGAAGCAGGGAAACCTCTAAAACCTGCAGGACAGCGGCCCCCGAGGACCGACTTTGGGCATGCCTGCTCTACAGGGTGAGGCCAAGGCTACTTTCCTAACCCCATTTACAGTACCCTTTTTAAACCTTGCCGAGATAACAGTAACCGAGATAACTGTTGAGTGTAAATGACACGCAAAACTGAACCAAACCGTGCCAGACACAACTCAACCGCGCTAACATGGTACTAGTTCATCAGTAGGGCTCGGCGCTGTTCAGTTCAGGCTCGGTTCTCACATAACAAAGAGCCCATGAGCAGATCGCATCATCTCCTAATTACAGTCAGCTTCCAGTAGTTGGCCGTAATGTACATCAGTAAGCTGTCACAAAAGGGCCACAAGAAGAAGAAGAACTGTAAACAACAATCCACATCATCTCAACACTACATTTTTTAAAATAGCTTCAAAAGAGCTTGGTGCGACCTGGAGTGACTCAGAGAATGAGGCTGTTATTGCAATTTGGGGGGAGGACGCTATCCAGGTGATGTTGGACAGAACAGTTTTCCTACTAGAGAGCAGTAGTACCATAGATCGTCACTAGGAGGCGAGGAACCATGCTAGCGTGATGTGTAAACTGTCGTAAGGTTAACTGATCGAACTCGGCATGGATCGGTTTTCAGAGGGTAGTGTAAACGGGGCTGTTAAAAACCCAGTGCGGATACCCACCAGTAAAACTCACCTGTACGATTAAGTTTTTCCGACCTTTGCAGAAGCGCTCTAGCATGCGTAAGAAGAGATGTGTCGACTCCACCAGGTCTTTCAGGTAGGACTGAGGCTGCTTGGTTTCGTCGTATTTTCTCAGCAGGGTCAGGAAAATCTCCCTGTACTCCATCAGGTAGAAGATGTTACCTTTATGATGATGGAAACAGATGAAAGTTCAGACACCAGCAACAAACACATTGTCTGGGAATTTTGCTAGCACTAAAAGTGTTTGTTTATCCTTTTCTGAGCTTTTAACCACTTTCAAAATTCTATTGCAAATTCTCCTGCTGCTGTTTCAAGTCTAAATGCAGCAAAGGTGTCCAACATATTTCACTAATGCTGGTAAATGCAGATTTCACACAAACCACCAAAAGGCCTTTACTGCCATCTAATGGTCAAAGTTAACCCCAATCATATCCAATTTTACTATATTCCATAATAAGTACAGAGCTTCATATATATATATATATATATATATATATATATATATATATATCATAACTTATAAAATGGTTAATATTCACTTTATTATTTTTTCCAACAGCAACGACATTAGTTTTTTTATTTGCAATAAATACATTTAGGTAGAGAGGCTGAACTTTTAAATTAGTAAACAAGTAGGTATTTTTCTTCTCAGTAAACTATTTTGATGTTTTCTTTTCTCATTTTTCATATAAATATTTAGCCTTATTCAATAACTGTTTTATGCTTATTTATGCCAAGTTGGTTGATCTATCTCTAATTTTTGTAAAGCACTAAGTTTAAATGATCTACAGTATCCAATTAGATCCATCTGAGATTTGAAATGTGTGCTTTTTAAGCCAAATGAGTGGCATCTTACTTTTGATGACATTTGAGCTCTGACGGATGCTTTCATCAGGTGAGCGGTCCATCTCGTTCACAGTTAGCAGCAATTCCTGATAAGCCTTTAGAGCTAAATGCATCCTAACGATAAACATAAAAAAGAAGAACCGATGAGAAAAAAAAAAGCTAATCATAAATCATGTTTGTCTTCTTTCAACTCTCTTTAGATGGCTTTACCTGCGGGACCAGGATGTGGCCTCTTTGCGGTCAGTCAGCAACATCTCATAGTAATTGGTAATGTTTCGTTCGATGAAGTGAAACGTTCGGATAGACATGGTCTCTGAGACCAGGTCGGCACGGAAACCGTTGCCCCGGTTGAAGGCCATGAAGAAGCTGAGCGCCCAGAGGTAATAGGTCTCATCGTGTTGTTGGGTCTGCTCCCGGATTAGACCTTCCTGCAGAGGTCATCAGATGTACAGTAGAGCGAATGTCACACATCAGTAAAAATTCAGGAAATAAGGACTAATAATGTTTCAATTTGTAATTTAATAGCAACAAAATAAACCAGTTCAAACATTCGAAACCTTGAGCTAAGCAGAGATTGTTAACATTAAGTCAAACACTCCGCTGTATGATCGGCTTCCCATTATTTAGACTTAGCGTTAGACATTTATTGTCATTTTGTAAACAAAACAAAATTTCGTTTTGTACCTTTCACATTTCCATTTGATAAAGTGCAGCAGTTATCAAATGTAAACAGTGTGGGAGAAAAAAACATGGTGATATGGAAGTTCAGAGCATTAAATATATATGGTGCAATTATTTAAAAGGTTTGTATTTTCAGATTATTTTTACAGTTGGTTTTACTCATATTGTAATGTAAAAAAAACAACTGCAACCCGAAATGTATGAATCAATTAAACCAATTTACTAATGCTTTTACGGTGTAAAACACAAACACCATAAAAAAAAGAAAGAAAGAGACTGCAAGTAAATGAATGAGAGAAAAGAAAAATAACTCTGACTTTTTCCTAAAAAGGTCAGAGAATGAAATTGTCATGTTTTATGTCAATCTTATCAACTTTACCATCATCTGTGGACATAAATAATCAAAACGCTGCATGTTGTTATAGCAGCGGATGTAATAGTAAAATGTTTTAGTGGAGGTAAACTTCTAAGCAAACTAGAGGGTTGGATCAATAGTTTAAGGGAGTAGTTCATGTATTTCATCCTAAAAGAAAAAAAGAGTTTCAAGAAATTAAATGCTGGACTTTTTCCGAGGAGGTTTCTACAAGCATTCCAATTCAAACTCAATCACTGAAAATTAATACAAAACTGCTAAACAACTTAAAGGTAAAGTGAAGGATGTTTTTTTTTCCGGGTGGATCATCAAAATAAGCCGTCCTCCTAACTGTCAATCACTCTGGTGATATATTTACGTGATGCCGTCCTATGTGCTCGTCCCCATTTTCACTTACTGGTGGTGAGTCTGACATAGTGGAAAAATTGCAAATCTGCTTTTGGAAAATAAGCTTGTATGAGCGATGCAAACAGCAACTTTTGAACAGAGCGTGCACAAGGAGAAATGAGCCTGTTTCATGTTCATGCACACGTTTAAAAGGTGTTCCCTCTCTGGAGTGGGTACAGGGTTGTGCATGTGCATTTTTAATTTTTTTTAAAGTGGAGAGGGCAAGTCTTTTAAAGCATTTGCAAAAACCCTCCACTATACCTTTAAGCAAGAAATAAATGATTTAAAACATTTTAATTTTCTAGCTCTTGAACCTGATAAGACAATTTAAATCTAGACTTTTTATACTCAAAGCCAACAGTTTCTACTGAAGTTTTAGCTGGAAGTTTTCTTTTTTTTGACAAACCTGGTTAACCTGAACTTTTCCATGAAATAGTTGGTAGTGAACAATGTAACAACAATGTTTGTAGTTTAATGTCCTAAACATTAAGAGAAACTCGGAGCTCTGTAGGAGACATGTTCTTATCAACCTGGACAAATTAGGAGTCTTAAAATAAAAAAATAAAAAAAACACATTTTTAACTCCAGACTTTTTCTACATTTTAGATTAGATATTTAATGTGATTGAACAATAGAATTAAAAGTGACTTTATTAAGTGTTTAAAAAAACAAAAGAACTTTACAAAACTATATCAGCAAAAAATACTTTACACACAACATAAGAAAAAAAAGCAAGTAACATAAAAAAAAAAACTAATCATACACACATTCCTTCACGTTGATTCCCTTTCTATTATTAATATGTCCTAGGAAAATACTTGATTTAAATTGCAAACTACCTGCCGCTTAGTTGGATAATTAACAGGATATTCATACAGCGGTGGTCCTCAGTTTATCTGCATGTTACTAGTGAAAGGGTCCAATTAAAAGTGTCCCCACACTGACCTTAACGAGGTACATGAGTCGGTTGTAGCAGTTCTCCAGGAAGTCAACGCAGAACTCTCGCAGGAACAGCCGAACATTTAAGGCCGAGCGTCGTTTCTCCTTACAGTCCTGGGCCTGCCGGTTCCTCTTAGGAACACGTCTCACTGCTTTCCCCAGATCATGGGTGTAATTCTTAAACTGCAGAATAATTAAATTTAATTCAGTTTATTTATATAGCGCCAATTCACAACACATGTCATCTCAAGGCACTTTACAATTCAACCAGATAATACAGTCAGATTGATTTAAAGTTTTCTATCTAAGGAAAACCAGTTGATTGCATCGAGTAATTGACTCGTAGGCAATCCCTCACACCAAACATGTATACAGTGACAGTGGAGAGGAAAAACTCCCTTTAAGAAACCTTCATTAGAACCAGGCTCAGTGTGAGCGGCCATCTGCTGAGGCCGACTGGGGTTCAAGGAGACAGAGGCAGACATATGAAATAAAGCATTCATACAGAATAAAGATGAACAGGTCAGGACCGCTGCTGGATTTCCGTTTTTAGAAGAGGGGAGAAAGTAATGTGGACGACTCACGTTGTTAAGGGTTCTGTGATAGATCACATCCTTCTCACCGATCGCTTTCAGGCCTTGAACCACAAAAGATCCCCCAAAGCGAGAGTGTCTGAAAGAAACAGCAACACAAAACTCACAACTTGTGGAAAATATATTGTACTTAAAGATATAGTGGAGGATGTTCTTTTACCAAGTGGATCATCTAAATAAGTGCTCCTCCTAACTGTCAAGAATGATGATAAGAAGTAGTAGATTAAGAAGTCCAGAGAGAATATGTCTGACATAGGGGAAAAATTGCAACTCTTCCAAAAGAAGAGTTTTTTTGTTTTGTTTTTTCAAGAGGAGAGAGTGGGTCTTTTCAAAAATTTGTGAAAATCCACCACTATACCTTCAACCTTTAGAGCTCCCCAAAGTGTTAAAAGAGGAGAAAGCTTTAAAAACACTAGAGCAAAGCTTTTAAACTCTTCATTCTACTTTCCATAAATAGATCTAGACGCCTTGATCTCTTTCAGAGTCCGATGAAAACAGAAGTAAACATAAGAAAATCCACATTTTTCCCATCAAGGGCATTCCCACCCAGGAGATCATCTTTAAGATCCAATAGGATATAAGAGATAAAAACAGCTTTGAATGTTTCATTTTTTGGAGTTCATTCAATGATGCCAACGTATCATTTCCCTCACCATAGCCATTTCTAACAGTTTTCTCCTCTACATGAGAAGAGGAACCAATGGGTGAAGTTTAAACACAGATATTTTTAATTGAGGCGTTATCTTATGATTAAAAAATATGAAAGTTAATCGTCATAAAAATATAGTTTTATCAAATCTAAATCGTCTCACTAGAGAGCAGGAGATTAGATTAGGAACATTAATATCAAGGACTTTATCTCGAGTAAATATTTTGCTGTTGTTCCGCAGCTTTGCCAAAAACTTCCCGATGGTTTAAAAATGAATAAAAGAAAATTTGATGATACTTTTTTAATGTTTACATGCAGCAAGTAAAATATTCTGTTATATGACTTTTAACGCTAAAGTCAGAGGAGCATCATTTCTAAAAGCATGAGGATAAACCAAGGAGTTTACTGCATGTGTATCTCAATGAATTAAAATTATTTTATTAGATAGGTAAAAAAACAAAATCATATTAGATTAAGTGAGCATTATGCAATGGAAGGTCATTTTTATTGTTAATAATTATGGCTTAGAGCAAATTAAGTTGTGATTTAATTGAAGATTTTATGTAAATATTAATAAAGATGTTTAGTAGTGGAGTTGCTTAGGGGGTGCATATTATGTGCATTACTTTGTCTATATTCGGCCAATATAAAGAAAAACTGTTTTGTAATTGAGGCACTTCTATTAAATAAGAAATGGGATTAAAATCACACATAAATAAGTTTCTTATTGCAGTAACTCATCAAATATCCGAGCTAACATCCTACTACCACTTCCTGGTGTCCTCTTGGTCTTTGCTGCCAGTAGTAAAGTCTGGTTGTTGATCATGTGACTTCTGTGATGAATGAAAGAGTGTTTCCATTGGAGTTTTGCTAAATAAACCATCAATATGGCCGAAATAACAACTTCATCTAAGCACAAAAAAACGTTTTCATATAAAAGAAGGGGTTTTCCAACATGGCTTTGTGTCCAAGCAGATTTATTTTCATAATTAGAATGTGTGCAATTAGATGGCGAACAGAAGGGCAGCTATTGGTAGTCAGTTTACTACTGATCTTTACACCTCCAGGTTTCTTTTGTGTCTGATCTTATTCTGACTATAAAACAGAAACATTGATTATTGCAAACTGTTCTATTTCTGTCATTAAAAGTCATGTAATTAAAATTGAACTAGTAAGGAAAAATGAGCGGAAGTTCCTTTGATAGAGGTGGAAGTTTTTAATCCACTTTAAAATGAAGGGATTACAAGATTATCCCATTTAGGCATCAAAGCATTTTTACAATTATGTGATGTTGTCATCGCACTAGGACGAAACAGTTTGATTAATCCTGTACAGGCTCAGAAAAGGGGAAGAATTTTCAGTTTTCACTGGATTTAAAGAGGCAGCTCCCTTCTAGCTCCTCGGACTATAAATACAGATCAGATAATCTGCTTCTGTTTACCTCATTCCTCTCTGTAACGTGCGAGAGCGTTTCTCTGCATGTTCCCTCTGCCTCAGCGCCTCCAGCTCCTGGGAGTCCCTCTGCTTCTCTTCGGCCGAGCGAGCATGGCCGGCACTCACCAACGTTTCAGGTGTCTGCAGAATCGAAAAACAGATCACACTTAGCAGAGATCACAGGACGATCTATGAATGTGTGGCAAAGCGCGTTCATCCTCTAACCTGGTCTCTGAACATGAGGGAAATGATTTCCAACACGTGCATACTCCACTGCTGCTCGCTCTGAGCAGACGCCAGAAACTTGACCAGGTCATCAAACCCGCTCATGTGAATGGCCCACAGCACCCTGTCGTGTATGCTGGCATCATCATCCACCTTCTGTTACCAGAGAGAGGACCCCGGCTTAAAAGAGAAAGCTCAGATAGAAGGGAAAACGATCCTTTACTTGGCGTAAAAGTCAAACCTTCTCTTCACAGGGATCTGCAGGTACATGAAGCACGTTTCTGACCAGCAGTAAAATCCTCTCAATCAGCAGGTTATCCTCTTCCTGTCTCTGCTCCCAGTCCTGAAGGAAGGAAGCCACAGCAGGAAGAGGAGGGAATTAGGTCATAAAAAGAGCTGGTTCTAAAATTTAGTACTTGCTAGTTTTTATGTTCCTTAAACTTAAGAGTTTTGTCAGAGTTAGTGTATTCTATTGTGAAAGACACAGCTGTGCACAATTGTAAAATGGAGAACATGTAATATATGATTTCCTTTGCTGATAAAAGTCTTATTTATTATTTTCCCAGCTACCTCCAACAGACTGAACTTTCATTGGGGCCGCCATATCTCAGTAGCATTAAGGTGCGCTGCTCTTTATACTGGACAGTTCTCTATGAGATGTTTGAAGCTAAGGATGCTGCTTAGAACCTGCCTGCTGTGTTCCTTGGTCTTTAATACGCTTCAATTAACTTCTGATGCCTTCAGAGAACAGCTGGATTCGTAGCAAAATTTTATTTTATTCATTTATATTTAGCATTTCATTCTAAAGGGTTTTTGGAAAGATTTTTTGGTTTTGGTTTTCCTTCGATTGCGTGGCTAAGCAACACTTTGATTGTTTTTCATATAAAAGCCCCTTAAAAAATATTTCTGTTGTAATGTCACACAAATTAAATGGTTCATTTTGCATGAATACTTATGCAAAAGTGTTACTTACAAGTTGAAGAAGGTTGTACAAAGTCTCACTTAAAATCCCAAATACCCTCTCACTGGCAAAAGCCTTAAAAAAAAAAAAAAAAAAAAAGAAGAAAAGAAGATAAGCCTGAAATCTAAGTATTACAATTATTGAGGTTTTAGAATAGTATGCTTAAAGGGTTAAAACTGCATATCTGCAATAAAATATGGTACCTCTTTATAAGCCTGTAAATAAGATGTCACTTGCATGAAGTGATGCCTAAACACCGGGTCATCTGGAACTTTACCAAAACACAGCATGGCAGGCTGGGTGAGGTTAACCATGAGCCTAAAAAAAAAAAAAAAAACAACAAATGAAAAAAACATGGAAATCCTTTTTACTACCCCATTTTAAGAAAAATAAGTAGATTGTAAACACGAGAAGCACAATGTCATATTGCAGAGGGTCGTACCTGATGCAGGCATCAAACAAGGCTTTTTCTTGTCTGTATTGAACAATAATTGGCAGGAGGTCATTTTGAACGATCTGGCTTTCGCCAAGCTGTTGTCGAACATCACGGGTGTCATCTTCATGACGTAAATACCGGATCAGGTCTTTAACGCCCTCTGGGCCACAGGGAGAAAAAAGAACGTTTTGGGAAACCGATATAAGTCATTAAATAAGCACTTTATGAAAATACCTAAATCTTAATACAGTAGCTTAAAAAAAAAAAAAAAAAAACTCACCCAAACAGTCCGGCTCCTTGTGATAACTGTCTCCCTCTAGAAAACCCAGAGCACTGCATGTTGCCAAAAGCTCACAGTTCATCCTGAGTGCATTCAATCACTTTCAACCAGCGTCCAGGATCAGGGCCTCAACTTTGATTATTTTTAGATGCCTATTGAAAAATGGGGACATTATGTAGTTTGTTTTATTAAAAGGAATCAGGTCAGCACATTAGGTAACCTGCAGTTGGGACTAGGGCTGGAACAATTAATCTTAAAAAAAAAGGAATTTCATCTGTCAATATAATCCATCCAGAAGTCAATTGGGAAAGTTTTAGTTTCACCTGGTTTAATTTTGTAAAAAACTCTTCTTTTAGAAGCCTTTTACTATCTGATTATTGATTGGCTAGTAGAAAAAATAATCAACAGATTAATCGCTTTGCAAAATAGTTGTTAGTTGCAGCCCTAATTGGGACTAATCACCTACTTTTTCCTCAACTGGTTATGACAATTGGTTTCTGATCTACAAATGCATCAGTCATCAACATGCAATCGGATTCCAGAGTTTAAGTGAAATCAAATATAGGACACAAATGTGTTTTCTTTTTTGTTCATTTTCTGATGGACTAATAAATTCTACCTTCTCAAAGCTGTTCTTCTTTAAGTCCTTAGAAAAGACAGGTACCTAACAGGTTATATATGAAAAAAAAACATTGGTGTCAGCCAATAACAGCCTGACAGGTGGATCCTTATTTAACTACACAATGGGAATCCTCAATGGCAACTAGTGAACTAGATTTTTGTTGTTAATCAAATGGTAAAAACAAGCAAAGAAACAAAAACATAATACCTTCAAAAATGTCAACCTAAAATCAATCTTAAATAGGGATGTTATATCAGGGTTTGGGTCTTCAGTGTCGTTATAAATGTGCTAGGAAAACAAATCTTCAACCTAATTATAAAACACTAACCTAATAAAATAAAAACAACAATCGAGACAAAAACTCAACACAAATAAGGCTGCTGGTTGGGGATAATAAAAACAATATTTGAGCGACATTTAGCCAGTGTGATGTAAAGTTGGAGCAGTTAGCCTACGGCAAAACAAATTAGTTTATGAAACATAACTGTGAGAATAACTTACCAGTTCTCTGGTTTGGTTGTTACTGAGCTTCGGTTCTTGGATTTGATCCCATCCAGAAACTGAAGCCAAAAATCTCACCTGTAAAGTTATTTTCTACCCGCCACCGCACAGCCCGAACACAAGTTACGCGCCAAGAGCGGAAAACCCGGAAGCGGAAGTGGAATGTCATCACCTCCGGTGATTTCCTGTGGCCTTCATTTCAGGCAGTGCGAAAAATGTGCGAATACTTAAATAATGTTACAACTGTTACGACTCTATTTAAAGCTATTTGTTTATATAGAAAATTTGGTAAAATATATTTTATGTCTGGCAGCCTTATATTTTTTTCTCATAATCTAGCCACATCGAACCTTTGCCATAGACTGTGTCCTAACAGGTTTCTTTATTATTAAATTAAAAAAAGGTTGCTTCAATCAAAAAATATATTTCCAATTAAAAACAACTTACCTTCAATGAAAAATAAAAATACACTTTTCAATCAAAGAAAAAAATATCTGATTGCCAAAATATAGCTGAGACAAAAAAAATATATATATACATATTAACATTGCTTTTTTTTTATTTTTTTATTGAAAATGTTTTCTTTAACAGAAGTCAAGTTTTTCTCGTTAAAGGCATTTTTTTTAATTGAAGTAACATTGTTTTTTTCATTTCATATAATGGGTAAGACAAGAACAACAACTTGAAAGGCATCTGGAGTCAGTGTCATTTTTACTGATTGAACATAAAAAAAAAACAGCATTAAACCATAAAAAAAAAATAAAAAAAAAACTTTTTTTAATACCAAAAACACCTTGCGACTTTTATTGAAAGCTAGATTTGGGAGTTCCTGTTTAGGCTATTAAACTAGGCTATTACTGGACAACACACCCATAAAAATCTAGACTCAGAAAACATGAAAACCTTGTATGCTTCATCTGTTCTTTGTTCTTTTTTTAACCAGACAAATCTGTGGGATGGTTTTATGTTATGTTAATGTCTTTGGTGACTTACAGATCACTTTTACACTTTGAAAATTTGACTAGAGTAATTTAATTGTTACATGAATCTATTGTCGGTTTGTTATTATTAAGCAAGAAAAAAAAATCAACAATTAACTAGTTATTTTTTGAGCCCCCAAAATACTTTAATTTAGATTTTTGGTTGCCATGGCACAAATTTGAATACCCAAATTATTACACCATATTACAATAGTGTTAGACTAAAATATGTTAATTGTATGGCACTTTATATGTGTTTCAACATAGTAAGGCTGTAATTAATGCAATAAAAAAATGTTTAAGTAAAATTTAGTTTTGACACAATTGTAGTTATTCTGTATGATTATTATGTTGAGTTGATGTTGATAAGCTTTTATCCATTATTGTCATTCATCGACACCTTTCCTTTTAGCAGGTTTGTTTGCTTAAAAAAAAAAAATCTATGTACTCTGTTTACAACTAGTTATGTATGAAGTCTTTCTCTTGTTTCCTTAAAAAAAGGCATTTTGTCAAGGATGTATAAAAATTATTTTTTTCTACAAAGGTTGGGCTGATTCTCAATAATTTTTCATATATGTTTTTGGTGTATTTTGAAAAATCTTTATAAAGTTATTTGAAAAACACTTGTTTTGATTGAAAAAAAAATCCAGTGGGTTTTCTAAAGCTGTAGATAAATGCACCAGATGCAGATTAAGGATGCCCCGCTTAAATACAGCAAAAGTCAAGAAAAACACAATGATATTAATGGAAACAAACAACAAAAATTTGTTTTAATCAAGTTTATTTGCACATCCATATTCTTTCATTAATCATGCCAGATTCTCACATCATTAAATAGCACATTCTGCAGCAGTCTAGTTGGACAACATGTTCAATATCAGCGTTTTATTTCGTTCTTGTAACTTATTGAACTAATCACATTACTGAACAACAAGAGGCTAGCAAAGCTTCTAAAATAAAAGCCAACAATTTTAAATAATCTAGGTCTAGGATTTAGGGTGTGTTGGCTGAAGGGCAGTGTCAGCAGGTTTATTTTATTAAGACATACATATTTTGTAATTCCAGCTATTAAAGTCTCCTATCTATGCCACCTGTTTCAATTTGTATTTTCAACTTACTGCTGGAAATGCACCGTTGTTCACTTTCCACAGGATTGCACTGTAGATCAAGGCCTCGAGTGGTACAGTAGTAAAGTGGATTTTGAACAACTCAACCATCGCTTCCATAGCACCAAAGAGACTCAACCCAAAGGTATTCATCCAATGCTGAACCTATGCTGGGAAATACATTGCTAGACAATGACACACATCCTTACTAATGTAAATGATAACTAAATTTGCCAGAGGTTTTATTTTCTAGTTTTTCTCATTTATTGTTCTGCTATGATGGCACAGTATCTATCATCACAGTTTCAATTTACTCGTCCTTGTCAGTTTTACCCGAGTCACTCTCCTTCTCCCTCCTGGATTCCTTCACCACCTGATGATGAAAGCACACACTTAAAAAGCTTCAATTCAAGAATTTGATTTCCAGATTATGTGATAAATCCTTTTACCTCCCCATCTCTAGTCTCCACAGTCTTTATCACCACAGTCTTTTTGCCTTGAGTGTCTGGAGTCCTTTCATAGTCTGTAAAGATATGAAAAATAAAGCTTCTATTATAATAGTTCAATTACAATATTTTTTTATTCCAAAGGTCACTTTGTAGGTCTTAACATCAACAACTAAGGCACACGTTGTACACTGAAATCTAGGATAAAATTATATGTTCTTGCTTCATAAAAGCTAACATTTTCAATGCTGGATGATTGCCTTGTCATCTTAAACTTTTTGTGTTTCATTAAAGTAAATCAGTGGGACAATTTTTGTCAGCTTCTTGAAAAACTCATCATGCTGAGGTTAGTTAATCTTCCTTAGTGCAGACAGAATGTCTGCATAGCACAGCATGAGACATGTTGTTGTTAGACGTATCTGCAACATTTGTGTAGGGATTTTGGAAAGTTTTGTCCCTAAATTAAATTTCTTGCCCTGTAAGATTCTTTAAAATGGCAAAATATTTAAAGAAGCTAGTATGAGAAAATAAGCCAATCTGATAGGAAAAAGAAAAAAATCTTAGCAATTTTTGTCAAATTAGTGTATGAGGATGCATCAAACCCAGTGTTGCTGCCAATATTTAACTAATAAAATAAAATGCTTTGAGTTTTCCATAAGTCTAGAACAGCACTACATAAATGCAGTCCCTCTATATTTACATTTGTTTTCAAGGGAGAGGTTTTTCTGCTTATTGATTTGGCAAATTGAAAAACAAAAAAATGAACCATACGTCACATCCATCCGTTCAAATACTGACAAGGTGTTTAAAGTTACAGACTAGTGTTTAAATAAGTGGGTCATCAAGCTTTACCATGTGTAGTTTGCTTTTCTGATGCTATCCTTAATGTGCTGGGGCTTGGAGTTCAATTAACAGGAACTTTTCTTTCCAGATGAGCATGTCGGAGATGAAAAGCTGCTTTTCGAACAATAGAACTAAATCTGCCTGAGATTCATTGCCTAATGTTAGAGGACTAAAAACGTTACATTCGATCTGTGATCCCAGCTTCAGAAAAGGAAAATGATATTTTTCTGCATTTCCTATTCTATAAATCAATCTAAACAAGCATCTAAACAAGATTGGTTCAAACTAAATCCAAAACAACTGCTAAATTAGAACAGCTGCTTCCAATTTAAACAGATGGACGCTCAACAAACAGTTTTCTTTGAAGGTGCAAATTCAAATCAAACTAATAATGTTAGTTGATTTATAGAATGAAAGTGCATCTTACCTCGATCGATAAAGTGGTTGCTCATGCCAATGTTGAGGATTGGAACAGAGATCCTGTAAAAATATTTAATCACTTAGTTTTCATCACAGATAACTACCATTATGCCCATGTAGCAAGCAGCTGTGATATAAATGCCGTGTCCTTATTCACCTGCTCTCCTCCCCTTCCAGGAGTTTGCGATAAGTGGCAATTTCAATGTCAAGTGCCATTTTGACATTAAGGAGATCCTGGTACTCTCGAAGATGGCGGGCCATCTCCTCCTTCAGGTGACGGATCTCATCCTCCAGTCTGCCAACATTATCCTGGTAGTTGCCAATCTCCACGCCAAACTGGTCCTCCATTTCCCGCATCTGCCTCAGCAGAGCTTCATTCTTTAAACAAAGTAGAACAGCAATTAATGCACTGTTTATTATTAATAATGCATTTTTGTAAATAAACCACAACTGGCGTTTGCTCTTACTGTGTTCTTTAAGGCATCAATTTCACAGTTTAGAGACTGAATCTGCCTCCTGGACTCACTAGCCTCCTGCTTGGCCTGCCGCAGAGCATCAGTGTTGCGCTTTGCAGACTCAGTCAAGTCTGCAAACTGCCAGAAGAAAGAAGTTAGGCTCACAAACTTAAACAAATGAGTTTTCTGTGTGCATATGTGCCCTCTCTAACCCACCTTGGACTTATACCATTCCTCAGATTCTTGCATGTTCTTCATAGCAATGGTTTCATACTGCGCCCTGATGTCTCTCAGAGCACCGGTAAGGTCGGGCCTGGAGGTGCTGTCCACCTCCATTTTCAGCTGCTGGGTTTGAACACTTACTTGCACATCTTGGATCTCCTGCAAGCAAAGCAATTAAAGCTATAAGATAAATACAATTCAGCTGGGATGCTTTTATTAACTGCCCCCACTGCTAGATCCTTCTTCTGCAGCTGCAAGTAAATGTGTACACGACTACACCACATGGGGGCGACTGATGCCATTGACTGCAGATGAAAGTAAATGTCAAATCTGTCACTCAGGGATCTGATCTTCTCACCAAAAGCTATTAATGAAAGACATAGAATAATGTCTCATTTAATTGGGTTATAAAAATGAAATAAATGCTCTTTTCTATAAGAGAACAAAACAACAAATATGTAGAAATTTAAATTTTGTTTCAATTCCTATGACCCAAAATGGCCGACATACTGTTGGATTTAGGGTATACTACCAAGAGACCTTTTCTGCAGAGCCACGGCCATTTTTAAAAATATCTATTAAAATACGGGGGAACTGTTTTTTGTAAAGTTTGGTGAGATTTTGATTATGTTAAGGACTCCAAAAAGCCACCTTATTTTTCAGGAGATTAATACTAAGAAGAAGCACCACAGATAAGGAAGGCCTTCATAGAAACCTTTGCCACTTTTGTATGCTGTGGCTGTAGAAAGCGCTGTTCCTCATATACATATAAAATATTTTCCCTGTACTTTAGCCAATACAAATAAAAAACACAAAAATGAATCGATGTCTAAAAGTCTGATATTAATGGACAAGGTTAGAAAGTTGTTGTTTTAACTATTTCAGTCCAAGCTCCTCAAGCATATCATATCTGTGACATTGTGTCACAGGTTGTTGAGGTGAGGGGAGATATGGTTATAAGTAAAAAAACATGTTCTTAATTTCTGAAAAAAATAAAATTACCACCTGCATTTTGGTTTCTAAAAGGAATAATCTACAAAGAAATGCACACTATTTGCATCAAAAAAATTCCCCTCCAAGTACAGACTAATATAATTTATTAAAACTTGGATGATTACAGCTCTGACAGATACCTTGAAAAAGTTAAATAGTGTAAGTGTTATTCCCTTGAACTTTAAGATTAAATTATAAATATGTAGATATGTTTATACAATGGTGGTGTGGTGAAATAGAAGAACTTACTTCATCATGGAGCTTCTTCAGGAATTCAATCTCATCCATAAGAGATTCAATCTTTCTCTCCAGGTCCAGACGAGACAACGTAGCATCATCCACATCCTAGTTATTCCAGAAGACAAAACATAAACACATACAGGCACTCTTATGTTTGCATGTTAATCCATGCAGGCATCATGGGAATGACTAATTTTTATCATGTAACCTATGATTTATACCAAATGATTTTCTCAAACTACAGCAGTCCATCATGGTATCCTATAAGACATTTTTTAATCCTCTGGGCTTGATATGTGTGTTTCAGAGTGCCTACTGTTTGTTTAAAGAATGAACATATGAATTCAAATAAACTAGGAAGTAATTTTAGATCCTTTGAGTCTTATTTTATCATTTGGTTCAAGCATGAACCTGGTAACAAAAACTCGAATTAAACAGTTTCTGTATATAAAAAAAAATGAAGCCAATTGTATTTTATACAATTATGGCTCACAATGTTTTTAAATAATAAAAAATATCAAGTGACATGTTGGCTAACATTGATTTTTTTCCCATTCTGTGTTAAGGAGCTGGCATGACTGTATTTAGAGGATACAGAAGAAAATATTTCATCTCATAGCTGCGATCAGCCATCTCCATGTCGATATATCATCAGTTTATCTATTCATCATATCCTCCCTGCATTTGTTTTTTTTTTTTTTTTCAACATTTCTTGCTCTTACTTTTATCTTAGTATTAGTTTACCCTTTTATTATAAATTAAAACTCATTATATCACAATAATGATTCAAAGAATGGAAACAAATTAGACAGTGTTTAAAAACAGATGTTTCACCTGCATGCAGCAACATCCCTTTTGTAAACTTCTTAAAGTAAGAATTGCAGATGAACTGACCAGAGTTTCAGCCGGTGCTTTTAAAAAAAAATCTATTTATCCTGCTAATTTAATTTTAGACCAGATTTAATTTGTAATATCTTAAGGATTGAATTTAAAAAAGGAGAAAATCTACTTCTTTGTAGAGCCAAGAGTTTTGAGTTTGAGTCTATATTATTATATATATCAGTTATTATATCTATTAATGATTATTCTTTTTAAGTTATTTTACTCTTACTTAAGGGCAGTTTTCACCCAATCTATCCCCCTCTAGTCACATAAGTAGTAAATGTCAATTCATACCATTCAACAGCTTCTAAAATGCCGGTTTTTTGGGAGTAATTAAGCAAAAAATTATTTTATTTTTTATTATTATTATTACTGTCATCTTTTTCAAGTTTCCAAGACGGGATTGAAAATCTTTTTTTATTTTATCAAATTTGCAGAAGTGCCTAAATTTTCTCAGTATGGTTAATTTATCTTTATGGTATTTTTAAAAAGTAGTTTTAGCATTTATTACAAATATTTTAATCACACAAGCATATTTGTTAAAAAAAAGGCAGCACTAAAATGTGAAGGCAATATTTCTTTACATCATGATCGTCAGCTCTTAATTTCAGTAAGGTGATTTATACATATTCAGTATGTGACTGTCAATGTCACTATGTATCAATTCTATGAATCTATGTTAGATTTCTATACTGTCATACGATGGAGACAGTAATATGAAAGTTGGAGATAGAAATTGCTGCAGCGCCTAAATGTTCAGCCCGTTATATGCGACTTTGATCAGGCAGAAGAATATGATATCATCATATGATATCATGAGATCATCATCCAGGAACGATGGTGTTTACCTTACGGAAGGCAGCCAGATTATGTTCAGCTTCCGCTCTCTTTTGGGCTTCTTCATCCAACCTGAGAGCAAAAGAAAATCATTCAAATATTATGCAGGTTTATTCAGCCTGACGTTTTTTTTTTTGAATCACATTTTCTTTTTCAATAAGGGAGATAAATGGTGCTTTCTGGTTATGTAAGCCTCCCCTGTTAAAGGTTGTGCCAGGGCATCAGATGGTGAAAAGCTTCCTGGATCAATCTGGTAATTCCCTGCCCTGTTAAAAGCATTTTGGAAGGGAGCCCACTGGGACCACCAGGTGCTTTGTTGAACTAATGCGGTTTCTACGCAGGTCACCAAGGTCATGTCTACGACCGAAATTAGGTTGCATACGCACACTTCCTGTTTTCTAAAATCCAAAAAGATTATCCTAATGCAAAATTTTCATAGTGATACAAAGATGCATCATAATTGACTGTCTGCTGATGTGACATTTAGCAGCTTTTTAGCTAACTATCATGCAATTACAGTAATGGCTATTGTGGTGCACAGTCTATGATAAATTAATTTCTAAAACAAGGAAAATTTCCCATAATGGAGATGAAGATTAAATGAAAGAGGAACAGTTTAATTCAATTTCAGCCTCAACCAATTATAGTAATGTTCCTGTAGAGTCAGGTACACTTCAGCCTGGCTATAAATCTAAAGAGGTTTGTTTCAATTTCTGACTTGAGAGCTGTGCTTGAGTAGACATGCAGAGGTGGAGACAAAGTATCATCCGGCCCCCTGCTCTCATCTTTAATTCATGCTGTGTTACACGGGGCTGTTTTGGTTCTAATGGGCTATCTGGCACCATCCCAACAGACACACCTAATGGAGTTATTGAGTCACATTGATTTTTCCTGTCGCTATTCTTACTGAGCCCCATTTTTTTTTCTCCTCATCCCATCTCCTCTCCCTATTTCTTCTTCCCATTTCCTGCCTCCTAGCCAGCCCCACCCTGTAACCAGTCACCCCACCCTTCATCACTCTGCACCAAGTTTTGTCTTTAAAATTTTTAGCTGCACAATACATCAACATGCAAAACCTTATTTCTAAAATAGTGCTCGGATGTGAAATTTGTTAGATTCCTATTTCGTCTGTAATGCATCCACATTCTGCAGGGTTTTAACACATTAGGCTTTTTGGATGGTCTTTGACTTCGAATTCACATCTTAAATACATTTCACTGATATGATAAGGTGACCGCCGTCCTGATAATAGAAAAGAACACTAAGATTGAGGAAAAACAGGGTAATTTGTCAGTGACTATATTATTGCAATTGGATATTTTACTAAAAATGTACACCTACGCACAGCATATCATGTCACAATGTTGTTCTTATTGTGAAGTAAAACATATCTGATTATAAAACCTTCACTAAAAATGTTTTTAATTGTGCATGGCAGCAGCCTGCACCCTTCAAGCAAAGCAACATTCTTTATTAGGTTTATGCCAGTGTGCCACGCCCTGAACTACCCTGAGCTAAGTAGAAGATGGCTTAGCTCTCTTGCTGTTTAGGACCTCTAAGACATTTTATCATCAGCCTATTATCTTCAGACCCTTCAAACAAGAGGAAGTATTGTGGCAGAGGCAGCATCATACTGTGGGGATACTTTCTTCTCGGTCTTCCTGCTACAGTCATACAGACCTCTGCTTCAGAAGTCCCAGGTCTTCGGCAAGGTTGTCCCTCTCCAGCTGGTACTGGTCCCTTTCCTTGCCAACAGCATCCAGCTGCCGCCTCAGCTCCTTCAGCTCCTCCTGGAAGAGCTCAGAGGCCCGGTTGGGCTGGCCCTGTTGGTACTGACCCTTGAACTGGTTGAGCTCCTGCATCAGAGCCCCGTTCTGCTGCTCCAGGTATCGCACCTTCTCGATGAAGCTGGCAAAGCGGTCATTGAGCTCCTGCAGCTCAGCCTTCTCATTGCTGCGTGTGGCCAGGAACTCCTGGTTTATGGCCTCGGCTAAGGTGAAGTCCACCTTGTCGTAGGAGAGGCGAGGGGGCTGGGGGGTGGGACGGGAGCGCTGTTGGTGGTAGGTAGTGGAGCGAGAAGACACCGCAGGAGAGGCTGAGCGGACATAGCGACCTCCAGACATGGGAAGGCGAGAGGAAACAGGGGAGTAGGAAGACAAAGAGATGGGGTGAGGGCTTCCAAAAGTGCGCCTGTAGGAGGTGGAGGTTATTGAAGAGTGGCTCATTGTGGATCTGGTGATGTTCTCTGCCGCGATGAAATGATGGAAGAGTGGAGGCTCTGAAACGCTCCTGAAGCAACAGGACATCACACTGAAGGGTGCTGAGGGTTTTTATGCTCTCAGCCACCCCTCCCTTAGCTGTCCTCCCCTCACCCATATCCAGCCTTTCTCTCTCCATCCCTCATCACCATGGATGCTGTGGCCACTCCCTGCTCCTCAGAGACGGGCCCTGTCTTGCTTCCTTTCACAGACTCCATCTCCATTGCACTTCTCCATCTTTTGGATCAGATCATTTTCTTCTAAGCCAGATTTAGCTTTTGTTACAGATCTGAATGTCTCCGCTTCACATCACATTTATAAGTATTAATTGTCACTTTTCCAGCAGAGGAACCGGGTGATTTTATTGTGTTTTATAAGTTAGCAGAAGTTAGTCCTTCTTTTATGGATCTATCAAGGATTTCATCTCCAAAAGGGGATTTGAAACTCTAACCTAAACTGATTCTCCTGGATGCATTGATTTGATTTCTTTTTACCCCCACCCGTCCATTTGTCTCCCTGCCTCTCGCCTCTGTGTCGGACTCTCCTTTTACAGTAATGGGATACTTTATTGATATTCCGGCCGTCTGGGTTAGAATCATGACTCTGCAGTTAAGTTACGCCTTCGGAAAAAGCCCCATGTCCAGTAATACCAGTCAGGATTGGTGTGTTTCAAACCATTAAGGCCATTTGTGCGCGGGGTCGGCTGCAGGTTTTTAGTACGCTGAGTTCATGTTGGGGCATAAAACAAGGATGGCACAGAGAATAATTACAGATCTTTATAAATTCACACCCTCAGTGACTTTAGAAAAAAAAACAATTTCTAGTTATATGTGGGGCCTTTCCGAAGGATTTGAACCTCTGGAACTTTCGCAAATTTGGTCACATTACAATCACATCCAATATGTGTTTTATTGGGATTTTTTATAATTTCTTTTCTTTTTCTACGTACATGCTTCTTGCTACTGACACATGCTGAATAAATAAAGTTGCCTAACCTTGTTAAAGTGAACTGAAGTAAAAAGGAGTCTTTTTCAGAACATAAAGTCAGTCTGTGTTTTTTTTCTTCTCTGTGGTATGTTAGTATGAACCTTGGGCCAGTTCTAATATTAGGAAATAATTTATATCAGATTGTAATACTGCCGTAATGAACAATAAGCAATATCTAACTGAGCTACACCTAGATCATCACAAATGTCCCCCTTCTGCACCTTAAGAGGAAAATAAGATTTGTTGTATTATTATAATTTTTTTGCAACTAGTGGCATATGACTCTGCAGACAGTCCTGTACATCAGTCCTGCATAAAGTTGATGTCATACAGAGCATGCTCTGTGTTGACTGGGCGTGGCAATTTTCTTTCTTTGTGTCCCAACTGATGCTGGGACTTTATACATCTATCCTCTCTCCTAATTCTACATCTATCTAT